CCAAAGAGAGTGCTAGGCCCGGGGGGCTACATAATTACAACAAGCAAGTCTGGCATGAGAGCCTGCATGTCACCTATCCTTATGCATTCACATTAATGTCTCACATGTCTTGCTCGAAGAAACAACAGGGCCGTCCGAATGAGCCTCGCCGAGAGGATCCCAGCTCCAGTTGGAAGCCTTCGAAATTTCGACCAACGTGAAGCTGCCGTAAAACTCAAGGTCTTGAACATGTATCAAACGACCCGCAAGCCTCTTCCACTGGCCACGTGCCACAGGGCATCCGCGTCCACACAGACCGCAGCTCTGCAGAGCCGTGCGCAAACTTGCAGTGGGCATCTGCGCATCTCCTTCATCTTAATGCAGTTCGTTGCAGTGCTTGCTGCTGCTTTGCTTCGAGTCCTCTGGAAGTAGTTGTAGCACATCTTGGTCTTTGCCAAGTCTGGCATTGGCTGCAACTCTCCTCTGGAGTGCGCGAAGGGACATTCTGTACCTGCCCCATCAAATGACGAAACGAAACTGCTCCACGAATCAAGAACCGGCATCTGCGGAACTGGACATGCGCAATGCTGTGGACCGCACCCATTTCACACATCTTCTTCTTGTTGTATGCACACATCTTCGTCTTCCGGAATTGATATTTCAGCGGATGCGGCGACAGCATGTGGTTCACCGCATTCACGGCCCACTGAGTCGGCCTTGCCTTGGTTCAGCATGCGTCAAAGATGCAGCTTTCATCCAAACCCAGCTACTGTACCAATTTCCAAACTATGCCGAGAAGCATCAGGGAGAATCACCGGCTGGCTAGTGCTGTGATTCTCTTCGCGAGCCCAATGTGCCTTGAGAGCCTCACAATCGAACAGGCTTCATCGGCAGCTGAATGACCATGGTCCTGTCGCGGCGAAGCCTGAAGCCCATGCACGTCGGACATAGACACGTTGCCCTGAAAGCTGTACTCCTGCACGTGGCGCAATCCGTGAGGTCGCAACTGGCACTCGCTTGACACAATCGTCCTGACAAATGCAGGAGAACAGCATGACCTGCCACTGGCCGTGCATGTCGACCATGCTGACTCCAGCAGGTGTTGGATACAAGCTGAGACACCGGCAAAAACAGGATCGATAAAGTTGACAAAAGCAGTGCGACCATCAGTGCCGTTCACAACATGCAGGAAGTCGAATGATCCTGTCAACGGAAGCTTTCGTCTCAGCTGCGAGGAGGAATTAAACCCGAACGTGCCCCCATTGTGGCTACGAGACATTGCACTCATGAGCGCCAAAGTGACTTATCCACAGACGCATTATGACATATCCCTGTCTCGAGGAGAAACATGACTCCACCTTCAGCTACCCCATTCACTTCACGCCCTGCTGCTGCTGCTGCTGCATGTGAGCTTTGCTGCCTGCTCGGAGTCCTGGCGTGTTCGAGATCGCACGCATACCCGTCGCTTCGAAGGTGGCCGTGCAGGAGGCGAAGGCGACGTCTTCTGTCTTTGCTGTGACGGACCGGCCACTTTACTCAGGTGCACTCTTTCTTCGGCTCGCGCTCCAGCATGCTCCATGTTCTAGCACCAATCAAGTCACCAGATTGATCGGCAGCGCGTTCTGTGTGTTGTTGATCCCGTTGTCCCTACGAGTATCCCTCTTGAGCTGCAGGTTTGCTACCCCGTTTCACGTCATCGGCGGAAAATTTGACTGCGCTGCTCAGGGTTGGAACATCGCATCGTAAGACCAACTCCACTTGGTCAGCAAGGATAAGGATGCGAGCCCCCTTTGGGAGCAACTCTACGCAAAATGAGCCTACTATAGCAGCCTTCAGTCTTCCTTCTACTGTCTGCGACACAAAAATATGCATCCAGTTCCCCTTCCAGCCAAGTTCTTGGACAATTAGATGATCAGAACCTGTTTGCATGTTGCGCACAAAACCTTCCACTGCACCCGAGCTGAGTCTACATGAACGACCGAAGCGGTGCTGAATGGTGTGATCTCATGATGCGCACGTGCATGGAGACTGCAATGCTCTAGAGATTCCCTTTGGCATGTCCCAAGCCTGCAAGACCCCATGCATCAAGTTGCTTCTTGAGGCTGGACGGTGTTGTCTCTGACGGCAAGCACGCAATTTCAACCTCAGCTGACGGTTTGTTTTTCCACACTGTGCAAAGGTTTCAGAGCAATTGTCGCTACAGGGTGTGATTGGCATCTATCAACTATCCTAACTATCCTTCAGCTTTGATTTCAGCATTCCAAACAAGCAAAATGCGTCAATTTTCATGATGTTGATGAACCAACTCCTGTTCTGAATGTTTCCGTCGGGCTCTCATCCTCACTTGAAGAAAGTGCTCCGAGGCGCACGAAACTTCCAAACTGATTGGGGTGCAACTTAGCTGATCCGAAAGCGGGCTCTGTACTGATTAGAGCCCAGGGCAAAACGCCTCAGACCACTGGCAAATACTAACTGCCAAATTCAATTGAATCTTGCACACAAGGCATGCTCAACCACATCACATCTCGGAAAAGCTGGCTAAGCCTGCTAAGCACAGCGCACACAGCTTGCTCTTATCAAATTGCTGGTATATCGGCGAAGAAGTCTTGTTGCTCTGCCTTGGCCGCTCGAAGCAGGGTCTAAAGCGAAAGTGCAAATGCTCGAAGGAACTCTCACCGGGACACTGGCAAGCAGTTTGGGTCCCAAGACCACTGAACGGGAGATACAAATGGTCCATTGATCATGTCCTGTCCAACACAAGCAGAACATGCACTGGGCATTTACGGCACATACTCATCTTTTTGCACACCGTGCCTCAGCGACAGGCACTTGAGTCCAATATCCCATGGGACCCTCCGAGCCCTGGATGGGGAAGAAGGCGACTATGCCCTGCACTCAAAGGGAACATTCCAGTAGCCCACCCAAGCTCACTGAGAAGCCACACAGATGCCTGGAATGGCATCTCAGTCATGGTGGCCATTGGCACAAAGTCGGGAGCATCAGCTGCAAATGGCCTATCAGGCAAGTTGCAGCACAAAGTCCTTGCCTCGGCTCAGACAGAAAGGCTGAGAGGCCAGCAAGTGCTTGTTGGCCTGGCATGTGCTGTTCTACAGAGGCATCCCGCCGTGAATGAAGCCGTGCTCCGATGCGAAGTCAAGATGCGAAACGAAGAGTTAGTTTTGGCGCTTGACATCTCTTGATGTTGTGACTCCATGCCCATGGCTCCAGATGCCCACCTTCGGACTCTCAGGCTCGACTCCAAGGGGCCTCGCGGCATGCTTTTGTCTTTGCACAGTGCCTGTGTGGAACTCACCTGCTGCCTCGGCGGTCTCCCTGCCACGATGTCTGCAAAAGACGGTGCTGGCTCATCTGCCTGTCACGGACGACAGCTTTTGTGATTGACCTGCAAAGTGACCAGCCGACAGCACCAACGAACCAGAGAACCGGAGAGCTCATCACTCACAACCGAGGAAATCAAGTCCATACCAAACCAGCATCGACTACGGAGAAATCTCGTGCAAGGGTATTGCTGGCAACTCATTCCGCAGTTTCGCCCAACAAATCATCGACGAATGATTTGCTCAGCAGTGTGCGATCGGCACCGGTAGGCCTCCTTCTCCGCACGAGATGCAGGGGCATCAGCTTCTGTCGTTTCAACTGCCACGGGAGTTGCCGATTCCGGAGCAGGAAGCGTCATGGCTTCCTCTCCTTTCTCCATCTTGGAAGCTGCCTGTCTCCGATCCAAAGCATGTGGGAGCACTTTGAAACGTGCATCGAGCTGATAGTAATTAGCACAAAACCGACGTGCCTCATGCCGCGGATCTGGCTTGCGACCAGATGCCCGTGCATCTTCGCCGGCTTGTCGCTGACGTATTCGTTGCCGCTGCCGCTTGGACAAGCCGTTTGGAGCATCGGCTGTCTGCTGCGTCTGCGGCGTCTGCGGCGTCTGTGGCTGGGTCTTGTCTGGTTGGGATACATCGCTTTGTGGCCGCTCAAGGTCTGCAGGCTGCTTGTTGGACTCTGCTTCAGGCTGAGGATCTGGCTCCGCAGCAGGCTCCTGCAGCATAGGTCTATGAATGGAAGCGCAAGCGCATTCCGTCACGAGCCTGTTCCGCCTGCATCTCACCTGCCATGCAGCCATGAAGAGGCTTCACCAGTTCATGGGACCGTCTCTGGTCACCGCATGCTTGCACTACAGGAGAAATACAGACATGACTCAGGAAGTAAGTCACGAGAGAAGGACAGCAATGGCATTTCGTGACCGTGTCGGCTCACTCACCCACCTTTTTCGCTTTGACGTCTCGGCTTAGCCGCTTAGCCACTCCCCATGGCACTCCTTGTGCGAGGTAGGTACGGCTCGCAGCTCCCACTGCCGCTCCCTTCAGGGTTGGATTTCTCCAGCGCTTGCGCGGGTTGCTCTACTTTTGCTGTCCTGGGGGCCGAGTGGTCAAATAGCATGGGGCATGCCTTCAACGGCAATGGTTCCGCACGAACCCGCACCCACCGGTGCGCATACTGTAGCAACACACACTGACTTAAGATGTAATTCGGCTTGCCCTTCGGCTGTACACAGAGCGGCAGGAAACGATACAAGGGAATAAACCCTTTTCCTGAACGTCATCCAGATGCCACCCACAGCGTTACTGATCACCATGTTCAGGTGCGCACACACACAGAGACAAACAAACAAACAAACAAACAAACAAACAAACAAACAAACAAACAAACAACAGCTCGGGACATTGTCGCACAGTCCTTTCATTTTGCGGGCCTGGCCTCGTCTCCTTGCACCTCGCACCTTCATGGAAGAACTTTTGATCCAGCCTTCTCCTTCACTCGCCTGGAGCAGTCAAACTGAAAATCCAGGCACTCGCCCACTTGCCCCAACCGCACATCGCCTCTTCTACTTCATACGACTTGGACCCTTCGAGTTCATGAGGCAAATTCTGCTGCGGGTCCTTGCAATGTGTTCCTACAGTAAGCCGGTAACACAAGCTGACAAGGATGAGCGATCTGACCTCCATGTCTGCCTTCTTGACTTGACGGACTTCATCCTGGGCCGCATCCGCTAGTTTTGCCAGTTTGCATGGTCCGAAACGCTGCGCACAGGGCAGAGCCTCGGCTCCAGTGTCTGATTCTTCTGCCAACAGGAAGATGCCGTTAGCCCACTGCATGGTATGTTCCTCAGTGTATTGCAGGCCGTCAGTCGTGGCATGTCGAGACGGCGCTAGTCTCGGTGCTCGCGAGAGATATCAAGCTCCTGCCTCACCGAGGAGCTTGTCTTGTCTCTCGCTCTTCTTACCTGCAAAGGCATGCCCTTAAACTCCTGTGGTGCTCAAACGACTGTACACCGAACAGACCATGAGTACAACTCATTGCTGAAGTTGCCCACGACGTGTCGCCTCCAGCTCCAAGATCCTGCGCATTGTCATGCATCGGAAGCCACAATACATAGCAAAATCGAAAGACCAGGCCTGGTCGTCAGTCTTGTCGTTTTCGGTGTCTTGCATGCCTTCTGAAGAGAAGCGTGTGAAGCGTAAGGTAGATGTGAAACCTTTTCGACTCATTGGACCTAAACCAAAGTCGCCGTGGCATGCAGCAGAATAAGCATGACCCAGCCTTCGTTATCGCTGCGAGCCCGCCTGAAGCAACACGACGCGTTCGTGATTCTTTCCACATTTAAAGTCAGACCCTGCCCCACCGTGCTCTGACGGCATGCTTGCGCTCCCTCCGCAAAGCAGCAGCCCGTTCTCCATTCGCCTGGCAGGCAGAATGCAAAAGCAAGGAGTGCTCAACGAAACTAGCTCAAGCAGGTTTGGCGGACAAAGGTCTGCTCGGAAACAAGCCTCCTTCTGATTGACCTCTTTGCGTTCTATGTCGTCGATCCACGAGTCATCCACCGGTAGATCCTTCGGAGGCATTGACTGATATCATGTCTCGGTGCTACTTTTCCAGAGCCTGTTCAGCAGGCGTTTGCACGGCTTGCTGTGCAGCTTTCATCGCTGCGGTTGCCTGGAAACAGAAACATCTAACATGCTTTACTCCACCAGAGCGAGGTCTAACGCAAACAAGAGCGGAGAGACAGAGGGAGAAAGCGAGATTCGCATCAACCTGGGCGAATGAAATCCAGAATCAAGACTTGCCTTCGCCTCTCTTCGCTGTCGCAGTCGCTGCACTGTGCTAGATGCTGCCCTGGCCAAGTTAAGTGTTTGCTGTTTCTCTCAAGATATGCAACAGATGTAACGACAAAGCAAGTGCTGCGAAGACGTTTTCGCAGGACGAGCCTCGGCCAAGAGCACCAGCATCACGGTACTAATGATTTCTGTCATCGGCATTCGCTCTCTGGGTGTGGAACAATTTCTCGCTGAGCTACGAACATTGGCTCCTGATCGCAAAGGCTGTCACAAGGCTGAACATGCACAACCTCTTCCTGAAATCAACCTAAGGTACTCGCAAAATACTGCAGAACTCAAGAGCCTACCCCTCCAAGCAAGCCCTCCAATGTATCACATCTTGCCTCCGGGATCGGAAACGAATCACATGGAATGGGCTCCTGCACAGTCAGTGCAGCACTAGTGCAGCTTGTAGAGAGACACCGAGACCCACAAACCTCTCGGCTGTCCTTCTCCGCGTGAGCATGCTGGAAAGCCCTGTGCAGAGCAAAAACTCGCGATGCATGCCCTGTGAACCCACCACACATTCACCGGGCACCTTGGAGCAGCCTTGTGTCCTTGGAAACAACAGACTGCTGTGCCCGGCGATGGATGCGATGATACACGATGCATGCGGTGCCTAAGTTTCGAGCTCTGGCTCTCCCTGTCTTTTCTTGCCTGTTTGGAGTCGTTCACCGCTCTCCTCAAGGCGTGGAACAGCAAATCGAGGCAGACCCTTTGTGTCCACAGGACACCAATCGACTACGAATGCAAGCAGCATACTCTGCACGAGTGGCATAGGTGAAATACTCTTTCGGCATCATCTGTTCCTAACGAATACAACGGTCGTTCTTGGCCACAGACCTGCTACAGTCGTCCTGTCGCGGACAAAGCAAGAATAGGGCTTGGCATCTGCAAAAAGAAGGCTCGAGGCTTCCAAGCTTCCACGAGCATCGGGTTAGTCGGTTAGAACAGGTAAGTCATTTCTCTACTCTGACGATGCTGATTTCGATATTGCCTTGAAGAAGGCAGCAACGCGCTGTTGCAACACGTCCTGGCAGCAAAGCCACCATTTTTGCATGGATGTTTGTTTCCGGTCTTCGCTATTTGGAAGAAACGAGAATCAACAAAGTAGCCAGCATCGCCAAGCCACGTTCGAGGAAACCATACACTGCTGTTAGAGCATCATCGCAGGTGTCCAAAAAGTTACACCTTCAGGCATTCGAGGTCTTCATTCGGATCCTTCCTTCGTCCAATACTCCAGAACTTGGAAATTGCTGGCTGAGGCAAAGGCCCTGTCGCAACAATAGACGGCAAGGGCCTCATAGCTCGGAAGGCTCGGGGGCACAAGTGAAAATCGCGTTTCGAGGCCCTGTTGAACCCTTCCGGACTTGTGCTGCCTTACCCGGCATCTTCGGTGTTTCATAGAATCACTTGTAATACTCTTCAGGGCTTTGAGCACAATAAATGCACGCAGGCTTCACCTCCTCGCTCGATGGCTGCTGCAAGACAGAGCGGCCGAAAAAACATCTCCATTAGCATCTTGTTGTTCCGATCTGGGAGCATCTTGCATCTTTATCGATAGTTGGGCAAGTCCATGCGTTTCTACTTTGCTTAGCAGCAGCGGCAGCAGTAGTAGTATCAGTAGTAAACAGTTGTAGCAGTAGTAGTAGCAGTAGCAGTGCTCAGCAGATAACAGATAGCAAATAGCACACAGCAGTAGCAGCAGCTGTAGCAGTTGCAAAAGCAGCAGCAGCACCACCACCAGCAGCAGCAGCAGATAGCGATTCGTAACTGAGTAGCAGATAGCAGGAGCAGTAGCAGTTCAGTAGTAGCAGCAGCAGTAGCTCAGAACCTAGTGCGTGCACTGGAACCCATTTACCGGGTTACTGGCGGCAAGACTCGAGTGAAAAGTGCACCCCTCGGGGTCCCATCGTGAATTCCAGGACGTCGTGAGCGATCGGGGCTGCTCATCGGTGAGCGTCCAGAAAGTCAGCGGGCTTGGTTGCTCCACCACAGAAGGGCCGCTCCATAAGGCATGGCACGTGTATTAGGAACGCAGGAAAACCGCAAGATGGGCATCTGCCCCATATAGAGACGATTGCCACTGATTCGGCAGGAGACGTATGACATCACCATTGCGCAAGGTGGCGACAGTCGCTTCCTGTGACTCATGAAACCGGCAGACATCCGGCTCTACGTCGATGTCCGCAGTGTCCGGAAACGAGGCTCGTAAGACAGAGAGCTAGGCAGACCACCGCAAAACCCCAGGCAGAAATCTTGCTCTGGTGACGGGAGAGCCGACATCAAGGACGACAACCGCAGGGAGACGTATGACATCACC